GTCCCATGATCCTCCAAGTAGTCGTGTTGAGGATGACGACGATGACCTATGATGCTGATGCTGATGCTGATGGCAATGTCGGCGATGGCCATAGGAACGCACTGAGCGTCACCATCATGATAATGGTTGACATGCCGGTGTGTGGTCATATGTGGTCATCGTGTGATTCGTTTGTAAGACGAACAGCGCGGTTGTGGTCCTGGTATTGTGATGACGAACATGATCATGGCCGTTTCATGCGCAGGCGCTCGTTACTCCCCTCATGGCTGCCGAGAGCAAGACTGCTAAAATTACGGCATCAACCTGCATCGACCACGATCATCGAGGCCCATGGGACGACTTGATCTACGGGACTTCCACGACCATTGCGTGGTGTAAGCTGGCACTTGCGATCAGTATGAGAGGTGTGCTTGCTTCTTCAGCTGCTACCAGTCTCACAGGCCCTGAATGCACAGAGAAGGATGGAGCCCTGGGCCCGAAGCTACAGGGGCCCTCCGTTTTCTCCAAGCTCAGGCGAGGGCTTTCTGCTCCCGGATCTCACTCGATGTGAGATTCACGAAGGAGCCTCCGTACAAAGGAGTCTTCACTCCGATCTTGGCCATCTCTGCGATAGGATCTGCACCCGGAAGTGCCAGGACCATGCTGTCTTTGCCTGCTTTGCCTGCTTTGCTGCTCTGCACCGGAGATGCCAAGGACTCGCTGAGCAAGCAGTCGATGGTTCGATCCACACCCCGCTTGTAGAGATGTTCAATGCTCTCGGCTGTGCAGAAGGCAGCTTCTGAGGCATTCTCAAACCAGGTGTTGTAGTAAAGGTACCCACTGGGGCTTCGATTATGATGGAGGACATCGAAGATCGCCGGACGTCCACCATCGCAGAAGCTCGCAGGCAGGCTGTACGCAGAAGCGCTTGGCTCCTTCTCTAATGGCCCCGCGGAGAATTTCTGATCACGGCTCAGAATTTGGATGCCCTTGGTAAAGCCCTTTGCAGTGGCTTCCCCGGTGGCAACAAATGCCTGAACAGCCTCCTCCCTCTCTGCAAAATTGTGGAAGATGTAGTTGTCCCCTTGGGCGCGGTACGACGAGGCATCGCACGGTGCAGCCCCGAAAAGCTGTTGACGCAGGGGTCGAGCGGCCACGGCGCAGAAGCCCCGAGAACGAATTGCCGTCCAGGCAGGCTCTTGAGAAAGAAGGGCTCGATACTTGTCCTCACATGGGAAGTGCTTTGGCTCAAAGGAATGTGGGAAGCATTGCTAAGCGTCAGGGCCGTTAGGATTTTTGAAGCATCGGCGCAAGGTCCTCCCAGAAAGAAGACACCCCAGCCACAGCTTGCCAGAATGCGTTGAATGATCGCTGGACGGTGCCGGAACCCTCCGACTCGGCATACTCGAGGTATGACTGCAGCAGAAGGTCAGCACTGGGGCAGAGGGCAGCCGGAGTGGCATTTTGCTCACAGGCTCCTCGCTTGTCGTTCGCAAGAATCAGGAAAAGGCTGCAAGCACCGCCGCTGGCACCAACAAAGCGATCAACTTTCACAACATCCTCCCCCAACAAGTTCAGAACATCACACAGCCCTCCAGCTGCGACAGAGAAGTAAGCTGCACCCGGCAAGGCCACATCCAACACCAGTGGAAGCTCGGTCTTTGCCCTGAGGTTCGAAAGGATCTCCGCCCGTGTGCTGGCCACCCGCTCCTGCGCATATTGCAGCAGGCGCGGGAGAAGCGAGGCGGCCCCGGACATGTTGGCTTCGGGCAGAAGCCCGGGCCCAGGTGCTCGAGTCAGGAGGAACGGCTCTGAAACACCGGATCTCTGCCCTGCCCTAAGCCCTGAAGCTAAGCCCCAAAGCTCAAGCAGGTCGCAAGTGCCTGACAAGCTGAGAGAGGCACAAGCAACGATGCCCTGCGACTGGAGGTATGGCAGCCTTTGAGGAAAAGGTGAAGGGAACAGACTGTCTGGTGCTTAGTAGGGAATGGGGGAATGGATCCCTATGATAGTCCCTTAAGGTCCATTCCCTACTAAGCACCAGACAGCAGAGTCTCAGCAAAGTCTCCGACTTCAGGGCAGCTCAGTTTTTCTCCCAAAGAAGCCGAGGCCCCCCACCACTTGTTCTTGGGCCCAGGGCCAAACCTGCCACCGTTTAGGGTTTAGGGTTTAGGGAATCCCCCCGAAAAGCACGCGACTCCTGCTCTCCGTCCTCCTGCTTCCTATGATTCTCTGCAGGCTTTTTTCCATTTTTTACCATAGGTAGAGTAAGGAACTCCGTAGGGTACCTATATAATATACATAATTATATAATGTCCTAGGTCTCTGGGCGCGTCGCATGATGATACCCAGGGCCACCAGGGCTGACCTCGCGAGACGCGGCGAGCTGAAGGCAGAGGTAAGGGGAGACTTTCCTGCTGTCTCTGTAACACGGCGACCGAAGTAGGAGATATTCTTTTTGTTTTTTTTTTTTTTTTTTTGCGGGCCCTTTTCCAACTGCCAAGGTAGCCGAAACTCCCTACCGGGAGGAGCCGATGGGAAGGCTGGGGCAAAACGAAGACCAGCAAATACACCCTCACACATTTGCAGCAAGCCAACTCCGAAATCCCCTAGCCAACAAAACAAGGCCGACTGCCCCAACCCAACCCTAGGAACACTCGCTGGCGGCACTGTACGGCACACAGCAAGGTCCACACATCTCTCGCTCCAAGGGCATGTCAACAGAGCTACTCTTTTAGGGTTTAGGGTTTAGGGTTTAGGGTTTAGGGTGATCTTCGTCTCTATCTCATGTCCCGTATCCAAATACTCATCGGCATCGCGGGGCACCGCTGCAGCCTGCGACGACCACCCTACCGCCACTGTAGGTACCGCTTCCACTTCTACTACAGTCACTACCACTACCACTGAATACACGTGAGCATTGACATCAAATGCTTCATCTGAAAATCAAAGACTTCGCAAGAATGATTCTATTTTCGTGGAAGTTAAGCCGGACTGTGTGGATGCATACGTACATCACGATGGAACATAACCACACCACTCCACACTTGTAGAGCGAGTCTAAAAGGCAACTGCTTGTCCCCGCAGTCCCTCTGTATGAAACTTGCGACGAGGACTGTTGATTGATGGGCCAATACGAGGTCCCCCTTGGCCACCGCGTGTGCTCCTAACCACGGTCCCGACAACTAGAACTACTGTTACTGGTACTGCGACTGCTACAGTGACCACTGCCTCCAAATCGCTGTCAGCTAAGGGCCTGGCACTGTGTGCTCCACAATCAGCAGGACCATCGTCTGCTTGAACCTGAACTTGGGGGGTTTGGGGTCTCTGAGTTTGGAGTGTAGGTTTCAGGGTGTGGACTTCAACCTCCAGAAGTACTCCTGAGCAGCCCTGCCTCATATTCAGGAATATCTTGTTTGAGCGATAATGATGATCGTGATGCCGACGGCGTAATGGCAATGGCGACTGGCATGATGCTGACGACGAGGAGGAAGATGCTGCTGCGGGCGCAGGATGCTGCAGGTGCTGGTCCGGGTGATGGTGATGGCAATCCTTGATGATGAGGGCGAACACGACCATAAAGATCATGCCGTTGCCATCCATCTTCATTGTCCATTCTAGTGGTGACAATGACGATGCGGGTGCCAGGGGCACCTACGAAGATAACCATGATCATGATGAGGATAATGTCGATTATGACGATGACACTGATACGGACACCGAGTACAATTGTGTTAATGATGTGGGCATTCGGTCATGAGTAACCACGGACAAAAGCGTCTGAGTACGTCTACTAGGCATTAACTATATAGCATCTCAGACCGGGAAAGCGGGCAATGTCCGTAAGAACAAGCACCAGCAATGCAGTAGGTTCGCCGGAGTGACAGCCGTTCTGATGTGTATTTCCTTGCGAAGCCTAGGTTTGCGGCAGGAGTCAACCTGGCCGAAGTCCGGGCAAAAACTGATGACAAACAAAACTTCGGTTCCACTGCAAGCGTTGGCTGGGGTGGCAATGTTCTTCGACATTCTGAGAGCCTGTTCTCACTACGCAAGCTATTGTCGCTACGACGGGTTCGTTGTTGCTAACACTGCCGAGTGATGCTCATGATGAGTGATGATGATGATGATGATGATGATGACGATGATGATGACCATGATGATGACGATGATGACGTCGATGACGATCATGGTGATCATGAAGATGATGACCATGATGATGATGATGATGATGATGATGATGATGATGGCGGTGACGATGATGACGATGGTGTGAGGGTGATGATGATGTTAAAGTTTATGTTGATGTTGATGCTAATGTTAACGGTGATGATGATGGTGAGCTGACGACGATGACAACGAAGATGACCTCTGCACCGTCGTTATGATCACAACGGAAATAAGAACATGATGTCGGCCAGCATGGCCAAGAGGAAAGATGACGAAGGCGGTAGTGATTCTGATGCGACGAATGCTGATACAAAACTGATGAAGCCGATGATGATGGCAGTGGTAAGTTTGGCGATGACTATGAATTCGGGGATACCTTGACTATTTAGGCGTATGGCACCACTCAGAACCCACCCTAGGATACAGTCTATCTTAATGGCGTGTGTTGTTTTATTTCCTGGGGCCTTGGGCGATGTACCCAAAAAAAAGAAAGATAGCCCTTAACCCTAAACCCAAACCCAAATTCTACAGTTCCGCCTTGCCCAGATAAGCCCATGGCACCAAGATTCCTGGTCTTTGCGTGGATATCCTAGAATTGAGGGTGAGATCTCGAGATAGATTTTAGCCTAGGGTGGGGTCTGGGTAATGCCATACAGCTAAATGGGCAAAGGTATCATCTAAATCTATGACAATGATGGTCGTGGAGATTATGACAATGGTGGTGATATGGCCATCGCGATGGACAAGACAGCGGCAACAGAGGCGACGACTAAGATCGTTGTAAAGGCGTTGATGATGGTGGTGATGATGATGATGATGATAGTGATGGCGATACTGGTACGGCGACGGTGGCGAGAAGCAAGATGTTGATCATGAAAAAGCAGTAATGTTGTTTGTGGTTTTTTGATTGTGGTCATGATGATGATGATGACGATGATGACCATGGCGTGATGGTGAAGATGATCTGGGTGATGATGATGGGCACGGTCGTCATGTTGAGCATAGGATAGCATAGGTATATCGTCAATCCACCTCCTGAACGAAGCATCAAACCGGTCATGCTAAGGCCAAATCTTCTCACCCGCGGCAGTTTTGTAGACGAAGATACTCTCCTGCTCGGGGCAGGGTGGCAATCTGGACAAAGGTTCTCCCACCTGCAAATATCAGCAACACAAGCCCTCAAGGAGGAACAAGATAATGCCTGGCAAACATGCTCCTGGAGGATGCCATAGACGAAGAAGCACGTCCAAATGCCCGCCACGCCTAATCGCAAACATTTTGCTTTAAGTAAAGTAGTAGGTGGTAGACGTAGTAGTAGTAGTAGTAGTAGTAGTAGTAGTAGTAGTCGCAGCAGCAGTAGTAGTAGTAGTAGTAAAGCGCGGAGGCGGAGGAGGAGGAGGAGGAGTGGTAGTAGCAGCCGAAGGAGTAGTAGTAGTCGTCGTCGTGGTCGTCGTAGTAGCAGTAGTAGCAGCAGCAGCAGTAGCAGTAGTCACAATAGCAGTAGCATTGCAGAAACAGTAGCCGCAGGGCAGTGGCAGTGTCAGTGGCACTGGCAGCAGCAGTAGCAGTAGCAGTAGCAGCACTACGTATTCGCGTTTTTACTATCTCTAGGGGTCTGAAGTGTAAGCACCCTCCCGACTTCTCGCTCATGCAGTTTCGCTCATACGGAGCTAGAGAGAGGCTGGGGCTGATTGCAACAAAGCTCGACGACTGGCTGGGGCCAAGGCAGATCAAGAGCCTGAAGGCATCCATGTTCCTGCCTGGCAGGCGGTCACAAACCTCAGGACCTGCTGCGACTCCTTGAGTACCAATGGCTACAACTGCATGGTGGACGGGGTTGGCCGAGCTTTACCAGAGCGTCGGCCTTTGCCAAGGACCGGGGCGTGGGGGCTGAGGCGTCAGCGGCGTCACCCCCTCGACACGCCCCGCTTACTTGGGCCGGTTTGCGGGCACGCGTGCTGTTCAGCTCGTCTCATTTAAGAATCCTGCTCAATCTCTCAGGGCTGCACGCATGCAAGAACGAACTTCCTTCTTTTTGGTCAACGGTGGGCAGGTCCATCAGGGAGAGGGAGACAGAGAGTTCGCCTCGCGGCGGGCAGCCTGTCTGCATGCACTGCACGCTGGGACGCTGCGACGGAGAAGAGAAAGGAACGTGCAGGGATTTTGTGAGACTTGCAGGACAGACCTTAAGTCTACCTGCTCATCCGCTTTAAAAATCTCAGTAGCTATTGTTTGCAGTGATGCGTACAAGACGTCAAGTATCGGAATGGATCTTTCTGCTTGAAGCATTGCGGAGCTAATCCCCCTGAAGCTCTAGCCTCGCTTTGCCTAGGATGGGAGTCAAAATGAAGTGCAGGTCGATTTCTACAGAGCTTCAGACACCATCGGATCTTCCTCAGTCGTCTGCTTCCCCTGTGCACCGACTGCCGGGGTTGCGATTGACCGTTTAGATACCCCAAAGCTTGGATCTGAGTGATTAGCAATTAGCACGGCTTCCTCTCGGGACTCGGGATTGGGATCAGGGAAGCAAGCAGAGGTCCGGGATGACGCATTGGGATTCCCATGGTCACACACCCTGCCACCATGTCAAACCGACGATGCCAGGACGCGAGCCGATTTCAGCCCACCTCTGGTGCCCAATCCTCCGAAGTGGAACCCAGGCCCTCAAGAAGCTCAAAAATCATGCCTGCTGAAGGTGCAGCACCAGCGATTCAGGCGCGTGAACCTGTGCAAAGCATGCGGGAGAGCGAGGTAAGCCCGTGCACCAACAACAACACACGGCAGCAATATGGACACAGCTGCAGGCTGCAGGCAGCGGAGGCAGCAGCGGCAGCATCATCGTCAAACACCGTTATGAGCATCAGCTGCATCAAATGCTTCGTGGTCTTACCCTCGCTTAAAGCAACTCTACTACTAGTATGTCTATGCTACCAAGTGCCGACGGGTGAATGAAACATCTCCGTGCCCTCTGCCTGGCTTACACTTCTAGAACTGCACACCCTGAAGCCCGAAAGCTGCAATCCAACCCCGCACACCTTCGACCGACCAAATCTTGCAGAAGTCTCTCGCGGGTCCCACGCCCACGCCTCCTTTGCCAGATCTTGGGCTGTCTTCCCGCGCGAGTTGCGCAGGTCCACGCGCGCGCCTGCTTGCTTGTTGACTCCGACGATTTACCTTAATAGTGACTACAACTTCTTGTCATGGCAATTCGGCGTTTCGAGAGCTGCCTCAACCCCTCTACAACCCGAAGCTGAGCCTGTGAGGGAATCCCATTATGGAACTTCATAGTACCCTTTAAGGGGACCCTATCATAGAACCCATTAGCAGTGCCCTGTCAGGTTGTAAGATCGAAACCACCGAAGCCCATTGTCCCAGGAGGGCGGGGTCCTGCGGCGAGCAAGACGTAGGCAGCGCCGAAGGAGCCGCAGAGGATGCTCAGCATCAGGGGCGTGGCGCGAGAATGGTGGTAGGCGAGTAAGCCTGAGATCGGAATGGAGAAAAACCTGTCAATCTAGACAGGACTCAGGACCGGTTTAGGGTTTAGGGTTTCGGGACTCAGGACGCAGGATTGAAGTAGGATCTGGGACTCCAGTCAAATGACGCATCTTGCGTTGCTCCGTCACCAAGGCGGCCTTTGGCTCCTTCTTCTGCTGCCTGCTTTGAGGCTCTCGGGCTAGGGTCTGCTAGGCGTAAGCATAAAGTTGGAGCTTTTAGTTCTTTGTGTATCATGCCCATGACACCCTTCCAAGACAAATGAATCCGAAGCCAAGCGGCTGAGTCGGGAATCGCGCGTGGTTCGCCGTATCTGGGCGACCCTTGGGAATCGGTGTCACGGCTGACTGAATCCCGGCCATTTGTCCTGTTTGGCCTTGTTCCTTCATTACCATAAAAAGCTTTCGTATCATACTGCTATCATTCTCAGGGTAATTTTTTGTTGCTGTTGTTGTTGTCATTATGCCTTGCTGGGTAGAGAGCGAGGCAAACGATAGCCGCCCTGTCACCAATTCTTGTCCCAGCATCGTGGCATGGACTCAAAGGCTTTGCATCTACCGATCTAACCCCAGCCAGGCTGCAGAACCTAGATACTGCTACAAATCATCGTAAAAACCAGTTGCGATTGCAGCAACACTGCTAAGCTTGCAACGATAATCGGAGCGCCAATATATGATGATATTGGTCTTCTTGGTATGATTACAGCAACCAGCAATCTCAGGACATCCGAGCAACAACAATATTGGTACTGTAGCAGTACTCCTAATGTCACAATGAGCACGAGGCACCTGAACAGTATCCACAAGGATGGCTGCTTTGTCCAGCAAATGTCGAACTGCTCGTTGATGTCTGCCCGGCCCTCGCGTCACGTGCTCTCGCGAACTCTGCTTGCCGTCGTCGCCAAACGATATGCCATCGCGGTGAGCTAGCAGAGATATCAGAATCTTTCTCAGAATCTTTCAAAGCTCGAAACCCGAGACTCAGGATTCATAGCAGGAGGGCAGCCGACCTGGATCAAGGCGGACACGAGGTTTGGTGAACCTGTGCATTCCACAGGATCGAAGGAAACAGCACTGCAGGCACAGAGACACAACAGCAGCAGCAGCAGCAGCAGCAGCACCACCACCACCACCACCACCACCACCACCATCACCAATAGCAGCAACAACAGCTAGAGGAGCAGCAGCAACAGCAGCCGCAACAGCATCAGGAGAGGTGCCATTCGTCATCATAATCACAAATACCATCACCACAGTCATGGTCGTACAGCCACAGCCACCACAACCACCACAGCCACCACCATCTCCAAAAAACAGCGTTGCAACTGTGCAGTCAACGGCCACAACAGCAGCCACAGGCGGTGCACTCACCAGGTGGGTCGATGGAAGCGGGCCTCCGCGCATGATGAAGGCGATGTGCAAGCCATGCCTGTGGAACCCAGGCCTAATCCTAAAAGCCCCTCAACCCTACACTCATGGATTGCGTATTTGAAGGTTCAAGTCTTGGGTTTAGAGCGGATCCAACAAGCTGTTCTTGATCTTTCGGAAATGTGTGCCTTGTATCTCTGGGGTAGGGAATGACCCTGAACTGCTCATGCCTTATCATATTCTGTGCAAAATCCCAGGACTTTTGAGCACTGCCCCCTCTGGGACGGCACCAACCGAACTACAATTCCAATACAGTCTTGAGGCGCGCGAAAATGCATGATGGGTGCATACGACTTCCAGCGCTGACCTTGTTCGGCATTGTTCGGCCACATCAGGCATTTCGGAAGCGAAATGCAAGTTTTTCCTTTTCTTATGGATGTCGTGGAAGACCTGGAAACTCCAACGGTGCGATCCCCCAAAGTCTCACCCCTAGCACCCTTAGCCCCTGAACCCTACAGCCAGACAATCCCTAAGCCATGAGTTGCACCTCCAACCCCCACAACTTTGCTGTCATTCTATTGAAAGACTGGCTCTTTTCAGTTCCACTACTCTCAGCCCAGTTGCTGCAAGCTGTGGTTGGGCACCTGCGCCGGACTTTGCTATTGGTAAGGTCTTCGTCAACACCAACACTACACATCTTGCTAGGCAAAAGACGACGCATACAGATACTGGGCCATCGTGTTGTCGGTACGGTTGCAAAAAGGTTCTTGGGGCTTCAAGCATTGTCAGTTTGGGGGCTTGGGGTGAAGCTTTGGTTTCAGTGCTTAGCTTTGCTGCAGCACCGCACCTGAAGCAAGATCTCCTGCAGCGCAGCCACGGCCCCCTCTGCGCATGCCGCCAGGAGCGGCACAAGCTCGGGAAAGCACTGCGAAGGGATGTTGCAATTGAGAAAGAGAAAAAAAGGCCCAGGGATAGAGCTACAGATGACAAGAAACGGATATCAAACCTTGGTGGGGATTACTCTGAGGTGCAAAGCCCCTTCTTTGCCTGCATCGTGAGGTCTGCGCCGCCCTGACAGAGGAGCCGGATTCCTTCGGCATTGTCCGCGATGCTTGCCCAATGTAGTGCAGTGGCTTTCCGGCCATCCCGACTGTTCCTCCGGAGGCTGCAACCAGTCTGAATATCTCAAATATCACGGATATCACTGTACGTGCTTGTCTCGTACTTGAAACGGCGCCAGAGTCTTTTCTCCTCTTGTGCTGGTGGCCATCAACATTGTATGTACGACGACAACATAAAGGCTGCTTACGCATACGAGTTACTACAGCCACCGCACGGCAAACCCACTACTGCTACTACTACTACTCCTCCTCCTGCTGCTGCTGCTATTCCGCAACCGCGACTATTCTTGCTATGGTAGCAACATTACATGAGCTACTTGCTGCTGGTAGGATTGACTACGATTTCTACGATTGTGATGTCGACTACCACGATTCGACTACGACTACGACGACGATTACGACAACGACGACGACGACTACTACTACGACTACTACTATTACTACTACTACTACTACTACTACTACAGCTGTTACATGTATGACACTGGCGATGAACAATGGTGTATCACGCTGACAAAAGCGGTTCCACTATTCTGCTTTTTGTTATGATTGCTGTTAACCGTCTCTTGATTCTATGCCCGATATTTCTTGACCAGCAGCTGGACAATTGAATCTCACACATGCTCAAACGGACTGAGGCACGGCCGCGCCCGAGCCGCCAAGAGCAGCGAGACGGCATCGTTGCTTCTGTAGCACGCTGCGATGGATAGAACCGGCACGTGCTTTGGCATAAGCGCCTGGAAGAGCATAAGGCGTACCCTGTATGCCCGCAAACACTATGCACCCATGTCCGTCCTCCAACTTTGCCTTGCTGGTCCTGTCGTTCGGATCAGCTCTTTGCTGCAGCAGCGCCGTGATGAGCAAGGGACGACCATCCATAGCAGCGAAACACAGAGGCGACCAACCGGCCTTGTCGCGGTCAAAAATCCCGCGAAAGCCATTCCTTGGATTGACCGCCCGACCTCTTGACTGAATGGCACAAGCGCATGCTTCTGCAATAAACCACCATACGTCAAACACCTGTTCATCTGTTTATCTGCCTATCTATCGGGCTATGTTTCTGTACAAACAAACAAACAAACAAACAAACAAACAAACAAACAAACAAACAAACAAACAAAAAACACACAAACACACAAACACA